TATTTTATAAATAGATGAAATTCAAAACGAAGACGCTATTTTATAACGCTATAATCCACACTGTCCCAAGAGACCGCAACTATCCAGTATGTTACACAATCGACAAAAGTTAATTGTGGACATTCTCAAAGGAATTGGCTCTCAGGCAAATGTATAGTGATGCATTCCCTAGGCTCAAACCATGCGTTCTATATTATGCTTCATTGTCTATGCCCGCCGCGCCTTTAGCTTCTAAAAATGGAGCCATGCAAAGCCGTATAAAATTTCTATTAATATTTTACTACCTATTTAAAATAGTTTAATTCGTAATACATTGCTAGTACTGTAGTATTTATTTAAAATCAAACTATTGCATTGAAAATATTTTTCTTATATTGAATGAAATATTGTTATAATTCTTTTAGCATTTTCTACCGGAATAATGTTAGAAAGCATGACGTAATATAAAATTCAAAGCTTTTTAAATAATAATAGATTATAAAAAAATCTAATAATTAGAATCTTCATGTTTTGAAATGTAGAACTCAAACTGCGTTATAATGTTTAATACTCATACATGATTATTGCGGCTATATAGTGAGCGTGTATACTGTATAACTTATATATATATGATTACAAAAACATATCGACAGACTGAATAATTTATAAGTGAAAAGGGTTAAGCAAGATTATTAAACATAATAATAATCTCGTTTAACCCTTTTCACTTATGAATTATTCAGTGGCAAAGAGGTAGCAAATAAAAAGTTGGAACACATTAATCCTAGCTATTTTAATGAAATTAATGTATAACAAAATTTAAAAGTTCAAAAAGACCAATATATAATAAATTGCCTTTTTGAACTATTAAATTTAGTTATACATTTCATTATTTATTGCCAACATCTCCAATATAGGTTTACTAGCTAGTTTAGTATATACATTGTAATATAAAATCAATGATCTAAGTTTATTGTTGCAAACTAAGTTTGAGTGCTACAGTCTCTAGCGCCGCAGAAAGTCAGTGATGCATCCAATGGATTCATCTCTTGCCAGTTTCCACACCGCAACTGAATAATATTGAGTTTCCAGTTTCATTCTCACGGACTGTATATTAATTTAAATTCCCAAACTGCTATGTTTAAAAATACACACTTTGCATGTGGAGCCTAACAACATTACTGAAACCTATGGAGCTGTTAAAACAAATTTTAATAATATTTTTCTATAAAGTTTTTCTTTTAAAAATAATCATAATCAACGTCAATATTTTTCTTATGTGAAGTTACAACAAATAATCGTAGTATGTGTAAAAAAAAATAAACATTTGATTTTAAATTTAAAATTAAATCGTAGATGTTATGGTTATTAAACCACTTATGCTATGTAATGAAATCATAACAGATTTTAATAAATTGTTTATTTAAAAAAAACTAGTTTCAGGAAGCATACTGGAAGAAGTTTTTAAAGGAAACTAGAGATAAAAGACATTATATCGTAATTCCATTACAACCCACTCCTTATCGAGTTCCGAAGAACTCTTTAATTCAATTTGAATCACTAATTAAAAAAAAACAATTAATTTGTAATCCAATTGCCTAACTTTATTTCTGTAAACGTATTTCATTGAAATTAGTAATTTAAAATTTAGGTACATATTTTTTTAATCAAATATAAGATTGTTTTAACATCGTTAAGTGATCCCATAATCAATTCATATATTTAATTTTAAATGTCCTTTTGATATTAACTAATTGCTATCCTATAGTAATGGCAACTTAATTAATGAAAACATTTTAGACTGATCGACAGTGCCCGATAAAAATGGCCCTTCCCGGAATAGAAACCACCCTAAACTGACCGAATTGATGACGTAATATGTCAAGTGTGTCCGCACAAGCCGTTAAGCCCTATTTTTAGCGTTACTTTATTCGCAAAACCTACGTGTTCCTTTTGCGGAGGATAATTATCTTTGGTCATAAGCTACAAATAGATTTGAACATTGGAAAATGGATTTAGCTGTGAAATAACAGGATGGATAAATTATTTGAAAGACAAATTTTAAGTATGCTATCATTAATAGTTATATAAATGTACATTCAAGTCTAGCATAAAACGATAAAAATACTTGTAACTTGTCATGCATTACAGTGAAAAAGTTAACGTTATTAATCTTAGGACAAAAATTAAAAATCAGCTGACCTGGTTAACTACTATGGTATTTTTTATTTATTTATGTACTGAGTAAAAAAAGTTGTACATCATACGTTTAAAGAGGATTACCAATTCCTACTCTTTTCTCGTTTCGTCATTGTAACATTTAGCACGAATAATTAAGCATTTCGTCTTTACATCAATGATGAAATATACAGTTGTTGTATAAAAACTGTACACTATCTGCATCGCTAAGGTAACATATTTCTACCCCTACTAAAAATATCGATATCAATAAAAACAGCTTTCATCATTTAATTTATGGATTTTCAGAAGTTCATTCTAAAACATGTCTTTATATATTTTTTTTCGTATCCAACTCACAAACTAAACATTTTATCCAACTGTTTACATCAAAGTTTGCAACTAGTACAAATTTTTATTTTGTATTTTTGTAATGATTATACAAATGACTCTTCTACGAATCCAATAAACCTAAATGTACCGACAAGAAATGGAACAATAGTAATTGCCTACCTAGAAATGGGCTATAGACACTGCAATAGTAATGGAGATACGGTGATATCAGTATTCTATACATGTGCAGAGAATACATGCATGGTGCAATGTCTGAGTCGGGGTTTACCCAATAACATTGGGGATGAGACTCTGACGCCGCTACTGCATTGATACCGCTGTCTTATAATGTTTAAAAAAAATTGAATTATGTTATACCCAACTAAATATAATTTGTACTAAACCTTTTTGAGTATTATATTATATGAGTGGTTAACATCGGAATAAATGGAATAAATGGGTTACATTTATTGAGTCACTTGAAATAAATTACCACAATTTATTAGTTTGAATCTAATGAGCTAATTATTAATTGGATATCTTTTGTTTATGATTTTTGAATACTGTGTATTTGGAATGACTATGATTTTCTTTATTTTTTAAGCTAACCTCGTTTTTTTTTTAGGTGAGTTTCGCAGGCAGTAATTGCTCTTTGGTATGTATGAAATGTTAGTATTAAACCTATAGAATGTTTCTTTAGTCAACATAACTATATTTTATTATACTTTATGTGGAGTGATTACCAAATGTCATAGCCAAGCAAGTAACTTGTAATCTGATTAAATAAATGGGAAATATGTATTGATGGTTTATTTAATTATTTAACTGTTTATTTATAAGTGGTTTCAAAACTTAGTCCAGCTAAAGCTTTTAAGAAGAGGTTTTTATGTTATAATTTATACTTTTTATTTAATTTGATAGAAGAATTATTAAAATGTATTCAATAATAAAAACCTCTATCCAGTCCAAATATCAAATGGTACATTGTATTCTATCATAGACATATTTGTAAGTTGACATTGAGTATTTAGTTTTATCACCCATTCTATGTGTAATATTTTTACAGAGTTAAAGATGAAAACAGGAACAAAGGTTTTTTTACTCATACGGCAAAACCAAAAGTCTATATTTATCTCCATATCTAACAATAATGTGTAGTATGTTTGTTCGTGCAAGATGTATTGGAGAAACATGAAGATTGAAGCTTAACATAGAAAAAAGAAAAGAAACACTTAAAACTTTTAGTGTTTTTATAGACGCCTTGTCAAAAGGCACACATGACTCGGGCTGCTTCTATTTACATTTGCTAGACAGAAGCAGTACGACTTGTAGGGGTGACTGTACAGAAGACGAGGGAGACGATAGTTAGTTACAAGTGTTATTTTTAGCAATCCGAATTTTAATTTTTGACTTTTTTGTGAATTAGAGAAGTAATTTTATATGTATAAAATAATGAAATGTTGTTTGGTATAACAGTTAACAAAAGCTCAACGATTAACAGCTACGTTGGTTTCCATGTATGTCTGAATACAGTAAAAGCATTCGCACGTAAAAAAAAAAAAAACACATACAAATAGTGTAATGTTTGTTTATTTTCTTTTAGTTCCAAGTATATATTTATTTTGTATTTGAGATTCATGGAACCGCAGTGCCATGGTAAAAGGGTGTAAAAGTGTTCAGTTTGAAAGTGCTATTGCACCAATAGCCAATTTGTTAACAAGTTCATCTTTACTATAATAACCTAATATTACCTTAAGTACTATGAACACAACAAGGTTGTCAACTAATAGCTGAAGATTTAAGAAATGTACCGCTGTTAAAAATATATATAGGCTGTTTCAAACTTGTTATATAATGTACGTGAATAAGAACACCTAACAAACCTTTTTGCACACGTAACGACAATTCTAGTTTCGGGCATAATGTTACTACGAAAACTTAGTCATAACATTACGCAGTCTTTTTGAATATTTATTAACTACAAAAGGTCCTTAGGATATAAAAATTTGTTAATATAAACGAAAACTAATTAATAAGATTGACTTGAATATAATTTGGTTGCCATTTTGATTGTTGAACTAGAAAATCGAATAAAATGTCAAATAAACTGCATAATGATCACCAGGTCATCAACGATTTATTCCAAAATATTCCTTACCCCTCACTAAAAATAGATATAGGGTGTTTCAAACTTGTTGTATAATGAACACGAATAAGAACACTTTTAAATATAAACTCTTTTCCACCCAAAAAGTGTAGTTTACCTGTAAACAGCACGGCGTGGCGGCGGCCGGTCAGGTTCAAAGGTTCAAGGGGGTGGAGCAGCGCCCACCCTACTGTCTGTTGGACTTAAACTTATTGTTGAGCCGGGCCAATCACACAATCTCGTAGGCCTGTTAACCTCCCTACTAGCATGCTACATATCTAGTGTCTAGTGTCTACTATGTGTCGTATGCAGGGCGATATGATCGATCGAGAGCCGCGCAGTCTCGCAGTCGCTCGCTAACTTCGTCGCTCAGTCTCGTCCGTATCTCCGCGCGCGTCGCACGTCCGTGTAGTTTCATGTAGTTCTGTGTTGTTCTGTGCATTGTGTCTGTTCCGTTTGTTGTGTTGTGTTTGGTTGGTTTGGTAAGTCGTAGTCCGAGTTTTCTTGTACTTTTGGAAAAGTTACCACTTGGATAAGTTTAGAGTTGTGAAATAATTTTTTTTGTAATAATGAGAATTTTTTTTCTCGGTAAGGTTTGTGTTATTAATACAAATTTTTGCACTATGTACTTTGATATTATACTTACAAAATAACAAATATGTAAAATTGTAGGGTGTTTATTTACAAGTGATTTATTTTTTAATGCATCATCTAATTAATTTTTTTATCAATATTTATTTAAATAAATATGCTCATTATTTTGTTCGACGCTTGAAATATTACTTTGTTAAAATTTTTATTTTTAAAACTAATACCGACTATACGTTTACAGTACTAGTAACATATTAGTTGCTAAACATTTTTTATAAAGTAAAACGAACTACTTAGGTAAATTACACAAACATGAAACACAAAATACACCCAAAATAAAATTTTTAGAACAGTTTACATCACAATGTAGCATTAAAAAGACAAAACCTCTAACTCCAGCCGTAACTCTAAGCGGATGATTTTACATCTATCCTGGCACTAAAGAGTGTTTAGAGGCCATTAGGCTCTTATAAAGCAGCACCTCATTGAGGCGTGGCAGATGCGCATACACCTGTAAATGTGAACAAATGGCTGAACTTGTGTTTACGATGTCGACAACACGCTCACTGCCTCTCACTGGGATGATACTGTTGCTCCAATACGGATGCACTCAGATAGTGTTATACTAAGATACAGAAATGTTGAATAACGAGCTAAGACGATTCCAAAGTACTAGGATGATGAGAAACAAAACTAGGCAGCTTAGATAGTATGAAACTAAAATACAGTGGTGGGTAAATATGTTTGTATTGGGGGTGCAAAAATACTAGCTTTGAAATACCGAGAATTTTCAATGATAGTCTACAGAAATACAGAGATATATAAGCTACGTAGATACTGTGAAACTACTGTGTGACTTTTCTAGCCGAACTATTTATTATCTACAGAAAACCGGAGGTTTTAGTTACTGACATGGCACATGGAACTACACCGTGAGACTCTTTAGTACAATATTATTGACATTCAGAGACAACTATCAACTGAGAATCAGAAGGAGTGAGTCGGTGGCTCAGTCGGTAGCGTCGCGGACTTCGGGCCCAAGGCAGCGATGTCGTGGGTTCGGATCCTGGTCACTGCCGATAACATTTTATCAGTACAGTTCACCTTTGTACTGTACCGGCTCACTCCTTGCTTTGCTGTTAACGATCCACGCACGGGCGCTTAGTCTATGTGGACGGGCAAATGCAAGGTAAAAGGGGCCGCCAACCTCTTTTTTTTAAAAAAAAAAAAAAAAAAAAAAAAAAAAAAAGAATCCAAAAGTATTTCTTTACTTAGACACTAATCTACAGACATACTTGAGGTACAAAGCTACTTATGTACACATACTAAACTACAGAGATTTGAGCAGATAGGGTTCATTGTTTTAGTATCTGGTTTGGTAGTACAGAGATACTCAGATCCTTGAAAAGTACTAAGATAGCAGTAACACACCTAAAGTGATAATATTTCTAAAAACTCATAAATTATTTGTAATCGGAATATAATACAGTTACTGTATTTTATTTCTTCATACATAGACTGCAATTGATCTAAATAATTTTTAGGTTTTGTAATGTTACATAGTTTTGGTCAAATAAATCAGACTGCCATTTTGTGTTGAAATACGTGTTTTGTTTACTGTACTAAAACAGCCTATTTCGATAGGAAAATTTAAAACGCGGCTTAGAAGAGGATTTGTCTAAAGATTCCCTTAAGTCTAAAACTGTCCTTCCATTTTCCGCATTTAGAATAATATTTTTAGAATGGAAATTTATATGGGGGATAGTTTTTCGTGTTTTTACATAAATGCTAATTACGTTCATACTTTCTAGACAGAGTTTAAAAATAATTGTACGTTGCTTGGATGTCCCTAGACCCTGCTTTTAATACCCCAGTGTTTGATTAGGTAAAAGATTAAATGTTATTAAATTATAAACTAAATGGATTCCATGATTTGCACACGCTAAGCAATTTAAATCCAAATAGGAACTGTTTATAGGGTTTTAAACGAAATTTACACGTAGTGTAATAAAACGAAATATAACAGTCTAATCGTGTACCTATAAAAGTGTTCATATTCGTCAACAGGCAGATTTCAATGGTAACATAAAGCTAAAATATTAAGTAGGAATTAACTATGGATAAACGTCATTTAAATAAAGTTGTTGTATAGCCCCTTCTATATCGTCATAGCCCGCACTATTAGTTTCAAATTTCACAGAAAAGTTATACTTTCTAGGCATTCTATACCGTATCTGAATTTAATTCTTCACAAGACGTTTTAACTCATACATGTATTGCATTGGTCTCCAATATATATCACACCCCTATTTGCCTGGACTTTTCTTTTAGTACAGCAAACAACATTATTTTTATTATAATCTGACTTCTCCCCAATTTAATTACATCGTCTGACGAAGCAACACCGATAAAGCAATTACTATTTAAGCTGGACTGGTTAAATGTGCTAAACATAGCATTTCATATCGGCTTACAGTCAAAGCGTATTTAAACCTACAAAATCATAATCTGTGTGTCCGCAACACTTGGTGTGATCGAATCAATTGGTTTGGTTACACATCCAGAATGAGTTGAGTTTTCAATATTGATATTTTCTCACTCTTATCTTACATATACGAAGCTGGCCTCTGCTGGTATTTCTATGTTTTATTTTATTTCAATCTTTCTTACAAATAGTTTTATATCAAATTATAGTTATCAAACACCTCTTATAGTGTGGTAGTACGATAAATATTATATATTTATGCACACAAAGCTAAATATAAACATGAAACATAATTTTTTTGGATTTAATTCAGTCGAGCTGAGCCTTGTAGAAGTTAATTAGGTCCCGTGGCCGGAGGAAGCATTGTACAAAGCTACCATCCTGCTTGTATCTGAGAGGGTGAACAGTTTAATATGATTAATCATCTCAAACATAATTTTCTTGAATCTGAGTTTCCTAAGATTTCTACGGACTCTGCTGTTATCGTGTTGTTTAACCTCAAAAAGATTTATAGACAATGTATGAATACTGTAGTGGCTACCAAAAATACTACTGCTGGGACATACTTCCAGTATAAATCAGATACTAAAATTGGAATGTGAACATTAAATTAAATTAAGTGTGAATTGAATTGGGAGTATCTTTCGTAAATCAGCAACGATCGTCTTAGCTTTACATTTAGCTGAACATGTTTGCAAAGTAGTAAGGATGTAAACGTAAAACATAGTTTTCTAACTTTAACCTATATGTTACCATTTGTCAGGGATAGCAAAAGTCTAATGACATAAAATAGCTTTTTAAAGGCATTTTTTGTATCTATATTTAAACATTAATTCATAGGCTCTAAAATATATTGATATTTGTTACGTACAGTTTCTGAAAGAAGATTATGTAAACAATAAACGTTAGACGTTATCAGTATCACACTACTGTTGTTTATTGATGATGGTTTAATTAGACAAGATCATATGACACACGCAGAACAAATGACACGTTCAGCACACAGTTGTTGGTCAGAATACATGTGTGCTCTGAGCAAGGTACAATACTGTTGTATTCTCAATCTGTATACATAGAATTTTTATAAATTATTTTATTTTAGCAATAGTTTTTTAGCAATGGACTTTAATCACACAACGTATTTTTTTTAATTTTTCGAGTAGGGTCATAAACTAGCGAAATGGATTTGACGATGAGTCGATCATTCAATTATCACCCGAGATAATAAGAGGAATGCTTGCTAAATGGACCAAATATGGGTTTAGTGTAATATTACATTACTGAACTATCTAAACTAATACATTTCACACTAAACTATAATTAATAGAATTAGAAGAAGCAAGGGATTAGATCTTGATTGGTCATTCCAATAATCGCCTGTCCTAATGGGGGGATTAGCAATATTCCCCTACTGGGCTTAACAGCAAATGGAGTGTAGAATCAACATCATTTTCTCTCCAATCTCTAAAAGTTAGTCGCTGTTTAAAAAATACTATGAACACCTACACTTAGGACGTATGTTACTCATTTAAATAATAATTCCACTAATACAATATCTATAATATTAAAACGAAACAGTGTTTTTTTATTTCACGATTCTGAATCAACCACTCGACGGATTTTCATGATTTTTGTGTTGAAAGAAAGATAATTTTGAGAACTAGGGAATGTCGAAGCCATAATTTTAGTTTAGGGTCCCAGTTTTTTAGAAATTAAGTTTTAATTTTTTTAAAGTCTAGCAGCCGACGCTAAGATTATAAACTAGCTTTTGGCATAAAATAATTTGCTTAACATAACAGCTGTAAACATTCAGCTTTTGTGTCACAAATTCAGCATTTGGATACAAATAATGTAAAGACATATTTAGGGTTGACTTATTTATACTTTGTGTATTGCTGATCATTGATACGTCCAATTCTTCGGTAAGAGGATGACAGATTATTGAAATATACATAGTAAAATACTAGGATGTTCAAATTATTCTTTTAAGTAATCTTTGTTATCTTCGGTTTGTTTTAGTGCAATATAATTTGTTTTAACTAACAGCTGGTTAAATATAAAATACTCTATAGAATTATGACGTTATTTAATTTACTATGATTTTGTCATTGATTATAGGAAATAAGTAAGATTAGGTAGTAGTCCACCGAGATTAGTAACACCATCGATGTATACAAGTCAAGGCTCTGTACACGAGTCTTAAAAAAGGATATGCAAATTATTTTACTGCTCACCTTTTTTTGGAAAGGGTAGGAAAATCACAATAATTTTTACATGTTTTAATTCATATTGGTGGCTTTTTGTTTACAATCAATGTTTTTGAATGCTTAAACTTTGTTTGGATTAGGCCCGGAAATATTGATGTCATAAAGAAGGAGATCAAGAATCCTCAGGAATACGATTTGA